GAACGTACACGTTCATGTCGTTGTTGTTATGCTGCACCGCTCGAATATTGAGGAAAAGAGATACTGTAAAACTTCGGTGGCGCATCCAGCATCCGATAAACAAGATTACATTCGGATAAATTTCCCAGTTGCTAAGTCTCGCCAAGCTCCCATGATCGATAAGCATATCTCCCAGGCTAATATGTTGGGCTTCCTCTTCCTTCGCTCTCCTTTAGCATTTGATTTAGCATTTTGGGGTTCGGTCCCACCGCTCTTTGGTGACTTTATTATAATTGACCTTAACATCTTTTGATGAACTTTTGCGCTTGCTTCCGAAATTTCTTGCGCCATTTCGGTTTTTCCCAAATTTATGACTGTTTTGCATGCGCCAGGGAACAATTTGATGGGCCTTGGTCTTTGTGAGAATGCTCTTTTGTATATCCGTTACTATCAAAAATTGTGAAGGGCAGCTTTCAGTTCCGGAGTTTTCGAAATCGAATTTTGGATTTCTTTTGTTTTGTACGTAGGGCCGAAATCGAGCTGCAGATTTTTCACATAGAGCCAAGTTTGGTCTGGCTTCAGTTTTGTGAATTACACGAGGCGATTCATAAATTTGAATAATTTAGGTCATAATTACACATTACTTCAAATCACATCCGAGATTCCTTTGTGGCACATGCCCATATCCTCGCATTTAAAATTATCACTCAGAGTAAGCCGTGAGCTCGAAGTCTTAGTTCTAGCGTTGAGTAGGTCAGCAGACGGAAATATTGAAGTGTAGAGCGAGTTTCTGTTCCCGGCAATAGTTCCCGCAAAACGCATATCCTCGATCTTGTGCGGATGATTTCAGTGCAAATCGAGCAGTTGCCTCGTTTTATTTCCTTCATAATGAGTCGCTTCTGGATGCAGGATTTTCGGATTAGGACTGCAACGGGATCACCGAAAATCCGGTCGAACCTGATGCGCTTTTAAAAAATAATCTCATGAACGTCTGAAGTAATTTGACTGGTTTCGTTTGCTCCTTTTATGCGTTTTTTGCAGCAATGCAATGCAGAAAACTCACATTGACGGGAGGTTGTTTACCACTGCTGTGCGAACGTTTTGCCAATTCCCGGCAACAACTCGCATGTCTTATCCCTCTAAAAATTTACACATCCAAGAACTGCATAATGGTGGTCGTTTAGTGATGTGCCTGGGCTATTTTGCATAGTAGTAATTGCTAGTATG